CCAAAAAGGGGGGGGGGGGGGGGGGGGGGGGTCCACCCGGCTTAAAAAGTGGGGAAAATCCACCCAAAAATTGGGGTTTTTTGGGGGCCGCCCCCCCCCCCCCCCCCCCCATTTCGCTGCATCGTAGTACACCACCACCGTGCTGCTGTGCGAGAATGGCTTCGTTTATGCTGTCTATTGCCATGTCCGTCGCAGCGTAGGACATAAAGCGTAAGGTACTGACGACGGGAATCGACCGGCCAAGTGTTTGACCAGTACGGACAGATGAAGTACTGGGCAGAGAGATCGGAACGGTTTTTAACGTAAAGGCAACAACAACAACAACAACAACAACAACAGCAACAATAGCAACAGCAACAACAGCAACAACCACAACAACAACAGCAGCAACAACAACAACTGTAGGTCACCTGCACGATGCGGCACCGCTTGAACTCCTCGGGGGAGCGGACGTCGAGGACGAGGTAGGGGCGGTCGTAGCTCGGCTTGGCGTCGGGCTCGTACTCCACCACCTTGGGGCCGTGGTGGTCGGGGTCGATGTGGTCTCGGAAGTCCTGGACGCCCTCTTGTTGGTCCTGCTTCGTTTCATCATTGGTTGGTGTTGGTCATATCGCTTTTCGTTGTTGGTGGTGATATTTTCGTGTGTTGTTCTTGGTGTTGATGGCGATTTTCGTTGAAAAAGCGCAAAAACAGTAACAAAAACATTCCATGACGCAGGAGGTCAACACGATTGTCAACTGGCCATAAAAATCTCCAATATCGATTGTTTTGACGACAGAGGGCGGCACGAGCTACCATATACCCGGTCGGGAAGACAACGGCAAGAACTGAAGTAACGGCTCAACACCGCTCGGACGACAAAAACAAAAACATCTGCATCCGGCGAGGACACTGTCGCGGCACTTTCAGCGGTGGTACATTCATGGTACTGCCGTATTCCACACTCCTATCGGCTATTGGACCATCGATTGCCCAAGCGCGAGCGATGTCGTCCCCTCCTCTACAGTACTCTCCGGGCCGGGGCCAGAGGACTTCAACATGTGCGCGCATAACGGGTACCCGCCTGGGAACATCGCGATGGAACACGCGCATGCTCTCGTTTCTCTGTCTCTTCGCTCTCTTGCTCGCTCTCCATACAGTCTCTGCACCTGTCTGCCTGCATGTTGTACATACATTTGATCTCTCATCCCACTTATCGATGTACCATTCTGTCTCGTGCCTCTCTCCCCCTCCCCTCCGCGCTACACCACACCACCCACTTGCTCGTACTCGCTCAAGAGCTCGTTCAGCTGGGACGGCGTGAGCCTGAAGTACGGTTCCTCCCGCCGCCTTAGGTGCTGCCGTGTGGTGACGAAGGTAACCTTGTCTACGGTCATGCCCGTCTGCACCTGACGGTGTACCGCCGCCGCGACACACACACAACAACAACGCAGCAAAAAACAGAAGGGATAAGATAAGTACAAGGTTAACAACAGCAGTATGAATGCTCAATTATAGTACACTTGCGACGATATTTCGTCTGATGGCCGCGGCGGGTTTACGTACACCATCGTGGAAGTAAACCACAGCAGTCAGTAACACTTTACTCATGCTGTGACGGTACTAGTCTAATGCTGCTGCACAACCTGAGCTACACTCTGGTGGGGACGGTTTTGGGGTGGCCTCGACTGTGGAGTCGGGGGCACCTTGTTGATCGAAATGAATTGATTGTTTTTCGCGTTAGTACTTCTCAGCGAGGGTGTCTCAAACGAGTGCCAGTGTGCCGGTGTCGCATCATGTGAGTGTTGACGCTGCGTACACTCGCCTACCACGATCAAACATCCAATTGCGCCGCATATTTTGGCCGGAGTGTTCGGGGATTTGGGGTTGCCCGCGACCCACACACGACTCTCGCGCGAACCCGAAAAGCGGCAGGATTAAGCACAGGGCGTATGTTGATCTGTGCCTGGCAAAATCAGCACCTATCAAGTCTTGATAAGGACTAACGGCAACCACTATACCTCTACTACACCAGTAGAGTACTCTGCCCTCTCGCCACCCACACTCCCTTTTATAGGGGTACTTGCCTTGCTTTTGACGCCAGCGTATCGCGGATTCCGGGGGACGCGTTTGTCAAGAGCGTTCGCTCTTACACTCCCCCGGTTGGATCCCATCCTGAGACTCATCCTTGACCACCACCCTATCCTTTCCCGCCCGTGGGCCTGCTGCTGCTGCCGCTGCTGCTGCTGCTGTGCTTCCCCCGACCGTTGCAAAAAAAAATCAGCTGTTAGTTGCTGCAGGGCCTTTCCCTTTCGTGTATCAAGCAGCTGCGCGCTGAAGAACTCCCTCTCCTGTTTAGCGATGGCGTAACCACTCTACTGGTGCTGGCGCTGGTGCACTGCTGTGTCCTATCTCCCTTTGTCTGGCGAGAGAGAGATCCTTTGTGTGTGACGGTGCTGGCTGTCTGGGTTGACATGATTTTTTTTTTTATCCGAAACCGTCAACCGAATTTTCAAAACGAAATTCAAAATTGTGTTCGAAATCCTACACGTGTAGATCCTTGTAGAAAACTACCACCGAACCGCCACCACCTGCTGCGTGTCTTCATGAGCCTGTGTCAACCGGGTGCCACCCTTGTATGATGCGGAAGGAGATGTAAACACACCGACAGATGATATGCAACATCGCTACTCAGTACTGTATTGGGGACTGCACTGATGATCAAGCATTTTTTTTATTTCCGAACATTTTGGATACGATGATGATTGAGCCGCACGCGGCGTATCACACCACATCTACATATCTTCTGAACACACACAGCGCAGTATTTAGAAGTCTTCCAGCCTCCTTGCCTCCCTTTTGTTGCCCTCCTCCCTCTCTCGCCCTCTCTCTCCTCTTTCCCCCCGCGCCCGACGCCCAATTCCTCCAAGGATCTTCCCATCGTGCATACGGCAAACACACACGTACACACCACGGGGGTGTAGACTATTACTGTAACTCAGGAACGGATAAGACTAAATAGTCTCGATAGCAAACCAGACACATGCCGTTGGCCGTGGCGGACAATGCCGTACAGCCGCACACCGACCGCAAACTGCCAGAGCAGCAAGACTCCCCAAACCCAAAGGACCCCAGCGATCCAAACGACCCTGTTTTCGGATCTGTCCCAGCTGCACTACTACCTTGCGACCGGACAACGATGGCGGGTGGTTTGGATTCGATCTCCTACGGCAACGTTGTCGGCGGTAGAGCGCCGCTGCCGGTACCCACCCGCCGCGGCCTGGACTCCTCTCCCGCGCTGTTCCTCTGGGAGAGTAGGACCACCACCGTGGACGTGATGTCCGTTTCGAACACAACGCGGCCGGTTGTGGTTTCGAGGTGAGAACCTGTTCGGCGTGCAGTAGTTTTCTGGGGCAGTCAACGTACGTACGCTCAGACCAACGTTTTACTGGTGTGTAGTCATTGATGATAGGTGTCCGTTGTCTGTCTCTCGTACATGTAAATTATTTGCTAGTTCCGAATGCGGGGTGCGTGTGTGGGAAGGCGACAGCGAGGCTAAAGATATTTACCCGACCGAATGCTTCAAAGCGTTGGCCTTGATTTTTACCGTCAAAGTTTTAGGGCTTTTGTCTCTCGCCATATCCACGATCAATCGATCACATTTCGTTGTTGAAGCCTCTGACTTCCCGTGTTGCAAACTTCGTACCTCTCGTACAACGAGTGATTTGGACCTCACGCCAGTTGGTCGCTGAATTCAGGAGCATCGTGACGCACACACATGTTGTGCGTGTGCCTTGAGGATGCATCAGCACCGGAATAGAAGCAATTGACAGAGCTTCAAACCCCTCCATCTTACTGCTGTAGGACACTCGGGTGCGATGTGAATCGTAATCGTACATCATCGTGAGCTTTCGGGAAGAGAGAACACCTTGGGTGTGGACCAAAAGATAGACTGGTCCCGTTCTTGGCACATCCTGCACACTCCCTACCACCTCAGCAAGAAATCGTTCTATGGCGCGGCGCTCCGTCCATTTCAATACTTCTTTTACTCGGGCAATGGCTGTCACTCTCCGTCATCTCCCTCCCCGCACGATCCAACGTATCCCCCCGCTCTGCCCCGTTTGTCGACCTTGACCGTTTACATTTCGGGGACCTCTTCGTTCCAGTTCGAGAAACAGCGAACGCCGCCGGATACAGGTCGTCCTCCCCTACGGCGTCGGCTCGGGGGCAGCCGGAGGGGCGGCAGGAAACGGCAGGGGGCAAAGGGGCGGCGGCGCAAGCGGCCGCGCGGGAGCGACGGGCACCATGATGAGCCTTCTCGACCCCCCGAACCCCACCGCGCTCGAGGCTCGGCTGAACGAGAACCGTCGGTTGAAGCGCGGCCGGGACCTCCGGCGAGAGCGCCACGCCTTCCTCTCGCGACTCACCCAGGAGCGAGAGGAGCGGGTCCTCCTGGAGGCCTGGGCGGCGTCGACGATCCAGGCGCTCTTCCGGGGGTTCCTGGCCCGGCCCCGCCCGCCGCGGCCCCGCCCGCGGAAGGAGCTCACGCCGGCGGAGTCAAACCGCAGGCTCGTCGCCGACCTGCAGGCGATCCTCGCCCGCGCCGGCCTGCCGACCATCCCCGGGCTCGGGCCCGACGGGAGGAAGACATCGGAGGGTACCGCTTGGGGACAGGGGCGGGGGGCAACAAGCGGCAACGGCGGCGGTGGCGGAACGGCGGGAGCAGGGGGGAGGGGCCTGAAGCGCTCGAGGTCGCGGAGGCAGCGGGCGTTCGAGGACGAGATGAGCACGCGAATCACCAGGGTGGTCAGGGGTTTCCTGGAGCGGAGGCGTTTCGGAAGGCGGTGGGCGGTGTGGGACAGGAAGCGGCGGCGGTCGAGCGCGTCTCGCATACAGAACTGCTGGAGGGCCTACCGCAAGCGCATGGGCTGGCGCGAGCTCGAGTCCGAGGCAAGTTGTCCCTTTCGTAGGGCGACCGTGGAGCCAGAGAGCCACCGTACGGCCGGTAATCCAACCCGATGCTGATGTTCACGTGATTTTTTCGATGAAGCGCTGAGCCTCCTCAAGATTGTCTGACGTGTATAGGGAACACTATTTACGCCACGCGGATCATAGCATTTTTCAAGGTATTTTAGGCGGGGTGCAGTCTTTGTACGTACTGTAGGTTTCAAGACCTTGTCATGCCACTGGCCCGCGACCCGAGAAGCAAGGGAACAGTCATGTCGTGTGGCGGTGGTGATTCAGGTGATGGACCGTGCGGCGGCCAAGATACAGGCGCGCTGGCGCGGCGTGGCCTGCCGCATGGGGCTCGCCCGCAAGGCCACCGACGACGCCCTCGGGAAGAGGAGAATGGTGTCGGCAGTCACCATCCAGGCGGCGGCGAGGAGGCGCGCCGCGATAGTGAGGTGCGGCGCTTGCCAGAACTTTTTGGTACACCGTTGGACAGACCATTGATCAGTCGCAGTCAAATATTTCACCGTTTGACTCCTGTTTGTGTGGTGCCTCTCTCGACCCTCTTCACAATGGTGCGTCCAAAGGAACGTCGGGGTATCATTGGCGGTAACCCACAGACCAACAACGCACAGCGCAGGGGCGGCGTACCAAGGTGTTGATCTCAAGCGAGCGCACGAGCAAACCGTCCATCCCTCCCCCGCCCGTGTTGGTCTTTTTTCCCCCGGTGGGAATGCGTGGTGCGTGCCCGACAGGTACGGTTCGAAGCTAACACTTGGCGCCGCCAGGCGAGAACGGGAGGCGAGGTCCGCGGCTGAGGCAGCGAGGCCTCGCCGGCGGTGGAACCGGGGGGGGGGGGCGGGGGGCACCACGGGTGCTGCTGCTGGCACCGCGGTGGCGGCGACATCGGAGGGCGGCGAATCAGCAAGAGGTCGCGCGCAGCCAGCGAGAGGAGTTGAGACAGGAGACCGGGAAGCTGCTGCTTCAGTGGTCGGGGCGGCCGCGGCTGGTAGCGGGGGTGGCCGAGACAAAGAACCACCGACAACGGCGGCGGCGGCAAGGAATGCGGGCGGAAAAGGCAGAGGGGCTGCACGACCACCGACATCGAAGATCAAGCTTTTAGAACTGCAGCAGGAGGACCAGCAGCAGAAGCATGGGGGGCCCGCTCACGGGTCGGAGACTGGCCTGTCCAACCTGAAAGTCGGGCTGTCTCCTACTGGGGTTGGATCAGCAGACGGTAGCGGCGGCGGCAGCGGCGGGACCGACGAAGGGTTGAGCGGCGGACTTTCCTCCGACGTGAGAAAGAGAGCATCGCAAGAGGCGAGCCTGCAGTTCGTCCAGGAAAGCATTCAAGCCGCGGTCGTCAGTGCGCGGAAGCACTCGGTAGAGGGAACAGGCAGCCAGTAGTTCCGTTGGCATTGGTTACGGCCTTTGCTTCCTCCCGCGTCGTCAACAGCAGTTGTACCCGCAATATGGTAGCCCTTGCAACATCACACGCAGCTGATATATTGCGTGCAACAACAGGGGTAACGGTCGACCGCTACTGCCCATTTCTTCGGAGCGGCAGACGAAAGGTGATGTCAACAAAAGGTAGATGTTGGCAAAAGGAAAGTCAGAACCAGCGCTTGGAGTTATGTACCATCCTCTTGGCTCGCTGCGTCGGGGGGAGTCTCTGCTGTTTTTTTCTTGGTCGATCTTTTTCAGTTTAATGCTTGCTGCGTCTGTCTTGCCCATCTGTTGTCAGTGGGAAACGAGACCGAAAACGGCATATGAAGCGGTGGGCGGGTGTAGAAACGGAACATTTACTAGTTCCAACGCCCTCCTCCGTCGGTGGAAAAACGTGCTACTCCTTCACCGCAGGTTACAAGCCTTGTATTTAATACTAGCTATGCATATCAAGGTGTCATCCTGGTGAGCGCAATAGTTTTTGTGCAACTCATAATGCAGAACGGCCGCAAAAAATTGCGGGGGGTGTCGAGATGACTATAGATCAGGAGAGCGCATCCTACAGAGCACACATGCGTCGTTAAAAGTTGGCAGCGAGAGGTGCCGAAAATTTCTCCATGTCCAAAAAAACAACGAGGTAAGCAGCGCGCCGCCGTTGGGAGCCTTGTTGTGGCTAGAGGGAATCGTGAGAGAAATGCGTGGGTGGGGTCGGATATCGTACGAGGCGGGCGGCAAGCAAGGATGGGCGCGGTAAGAAAGATGCGGTCCGTCCATCAAGCCTTGTACACGGCGAGACTGCCGGGTCCAACACGCCATGGTCGGTACGTCGTCGTTCTGCACTGCAGCAAAAAAAAAGCCCCGAGATAAAAAAAATGTGTGAATTCCTGAGTTTGCGAGCAAAAACGGTGCGAGCTTGTACCCAAACCGGCTAAAGACCTTGTCTAGGTACACGCTTCTTACACCAGTCGTAGCGATAGTCTTGATGAAACGACACTCGTCGTCGTCTTCGTCAAGGAAGTCAGCCGCAGGGCGCATGTTTCCTTGACTGCTCTCTTCTCCAATGCCCTACCAAACGCGCGAGTGGGACCCCCCCCCCCGCCCGCCCGCCCGCCCGGAGCGCGGTCATCGACGACCAACATCAAACACACCGCTTTTGTCACGTCACACGCATAATAATCGCCGAACCAATACAAGGAAAATCGAACATGAACCCCGCTCCTTGCCTCTCATCGCGACCCATCCCACGGAGGCTGTATGTGCTCCGGTGGCCAGAGGCCACCACGGGTCACACGCACAAACCCAATTCTTGAGTTTTCGTGGGGAATCACCCTAGAAACACGTTGCAGAGACGCAATCGTGCCTGCCACGTAGATGCTCAACGCGCGCATCAGTGGTGTTGTTCCTAACCCGCCTTGTGCAGCAATAGTAGTACATGCTCCCCTGTAAGCTGCTGCGATGCCCGCCTTCTTTCGGGAGACGCGTGCAAAGTATCAACAAAAACACAACAAAAACAAGAGCAACACGAACGCGCGAAAGCCACTTTCCACCTTTAAACCCCTCCCCGTTCTATCGTCAGATTCCCCCTTTAAACTCCTGCCCAATTCTTACGATTCCCGCAACATAACAGAAAAAACACCGCCCCCCTCCAATTATTTTATCTCTTCGAACAACAGGAACGCAAAACCATCACCGTCGAAGCATTGCTGTTCCGTTTCCATTTTTCAATGCCCCGCCGCCTTTTCTGACCGCCGCCGCCGCCGACGCCGCCGCCACCTCCTCCGCCACCGCCGCCGCCGCCGCTACCGCAACTGCCGCCCCCTCCGTCGCCGAGGCACCGCCGCCCAGTGAAGGTGACACCACCGCCGCCGGTACAGCCGGTGCTACCGGTGCGGGTGCCGGTGCCGCAGGCGGAGGCGGGGGCGGAGGCGGCGCGGGGGCGGATTTCCGGCGCTTCCTGTCGATCTGTCCTTCGAGCCGGTGCCCCGCACAGTGCGTCGGTCTCTTCCCGGGGTAGCCGTACCCAGGGTGCTTGGTGCAACCCTGTCTTTTTTCAAATGCGCACACGTTCGTAGGAAGACAAACCGGCGCCGTGAGAGGTTGTTTTGATATTCGGAATAGTTGGGACGCGGGGGGGGGGGGGATAATATCTCTGTGCTACGCACAAAATGGGGCAAATGGTTTACAGCATGCGTGAAGTTGGTGCAAGGGACGGACTGTACCGCCACGAACATGAGCTTCGATCTTGTCTGTTTAGTGTTTCTAGGGCGAATCTGCGCTGTTTTTTCATAAACGGCCACACAACCAATACAGCAGTAGAGGTCCCCGTGTAGTGCCAGCATGTGCCCAGAAAGTTCGCTGGCACTGTACCGGACCAGCACTATTCAAAGTGTTGAGAATGACTTGTAGATTCAGCGCGTGCCCGCCGAAAACACGGGCGCTATACCGGGCACCGGCACTATTCAACCGGCACTAAATAGGAACCTCAACTGTGTACCGTAGACGACACAAGATAACACACCCACATAAGAAACCACACCCCCCACAGAATACGACACCCCGGTGATAATTGTGGGCGTTTCTGACAAAACATCGACACATACACCCGAGCTACATAAGTAACACACCCCTTGCGGATACATTCGCGGGGCCCCTCCTTTTATCACCGGGGTGATAACAGGATCTGCCCGGTGGGCATCGCACACACACGCAGCATCTGCGTGCGGGGAAACGCCCCGAAGGAGACCTCCAACAACATGAACGCGCAGGGAGAGCAGAATGCCGCCGCAAGTAGCTCCGCTTCTTCCACAACTGCTTCAACCGCAGCAGTACAAGCGCCACAGATCACGTCGTTCTTTCAACGCGAGCGAGCACACTTCTTCTACGCAAGTGCTCCTGCCACGGCTCGTCCTCCTGCTTCTGCTGATCTAACAGCAGCAGCAGCTGGCACAGCAACAGTCATCAATAAAACAGCCACCGCATCGCCTCACCAGCAGCAGCCACACCCCTTCAAGCGTGCGGCAGCAGCGGTTCAACTCTACAAGCAGTTTCATCACACACCCTCATTAGCACACCCCCGAAGACACCCTGTGGGTGTTCGGACGTGCCCCCTGGTGTCACACCCCCTTAGGGGCCCCTGCGAGCTGCACTTTATCACCCGGGCTAAATAAGATACCATACCTCCCACAGGATACCACACCCGGTGATAATATTTTTAAAAGCCGAAAATGATATCACCGGGGTGTGTTATCTTGTGTCGTCTATGGTATGCACTCCCACGTAGAAGGTGGACAGAACGTCAAGAACTCCAGTATGGGCGAAGAAACCAATCAATCACCTGCGGGTGCTGACAGCGCGCCTTGTGCGCCACGTCGACCATGTTGAGCTGCCGGTGCGCCGAGCAGAAGATTGCCTTCCTACCCGGGTGGTTGAAGCTCGGCCGCCGACTGCACCCCCCGTCATATTGGCAGGTTCGGGTGCCGACGGGCCGCTTCTTCCCCGAAGGCCGCGAGAGGCCCCACTGCAGCTCCTGCTCCACCGCCGCCACCGCCGCCGCCGCGTTCGCCGCCGCCGCCGCCCCCGCTGCGTTCCAACGAGCTTCGTTCTTCATCGCCGCCGCCGCCGCCGCCGCTGCTGCCGCCGCAGCAGCAGCCATAGCAGTTGTTGTTGTCGTTGCCCCGGCGCCCCGTTTCCCGAGAGTAATGCCACCGGCTGCGGAGTTCATCACGCTGCTGCTGTTGCTGGTGTTGAGTTCGCTATATTGGTGGCGTGAAGGTTGCTGCTGCTGCTGCTGCTGCTGCTGCTGTTGCTGCTGAAGGAGGCGCTGGTGCTGGAGAAGCTGCTGCTGCTGCTGCTGCTGCTGCTCCCGTAGATGTTGCTGAATACGCTGCTGCTCGTCCTGCTGCTGCTGCTGCTGCTGCTGCTGCTGTAGAAACAGCGACGACGGGTCGTCTTCTACATGAAGCTCCTCCTCAGGCGACATCGAGGCTCCAGTGGTCGTGTTGCTAATATCTTGGTGGCACAGGCTCTGCAGATCAGGCATCCCATGATCCTGTTGGATGTCGACGAATACCTCGTCCATGGACATGTTCCTCTCGGACAGCACCAAGTAGCGTCTGTCTGCGCTTGGCTTGGTACAATCCTGAGCGGATCTGGCGTGTGGGTGCTGTACCGTATGCTATGTACAAGCAAGTAGGAAGCAGCTTCCTGCGATTTCAACAGCCGGTCCGCAATCCTGTACCAGCAGACGAGAGTCCTCCCTCCCTCCTTCCCACCTCTTGCTGAACCAACCGACACCAGTGCCCTCTGTAGCTCAGCCTCTCGTGCTACCGATCGCGGTAGCGGCTCGTGCCTCTCTGCTGCGGTCACCGCCGCTGTGTCTGTTGTTGTGGGTGCCGATCAAAAATGCACTCCGCTTCGGGGGGTATTTTCCAAGGATTTCGAAGCGTAGAGGGGAGCGTGCTCCGGGGCAAAGGTAGAAGGGCAGCAAGGGGCCAAGCAAACAGGAGATCTCGAGAGAGTTCTTTCCCTCTGGTGCCAACCCCGTTGAGCACCTGGCTGTTAGCTAGCTGCTGCTGTGCTGGGCAAGTGAAGTGGACACGCAGCCGGGACAAGAGAGGCTCCGCGGATGCGCGAAAATCACGGATGGATACACCCGATCATTTTTTTTTTTTTCATGTACTGTTGTGTTATTCAGCTGATGTTTTTGACCCCGGTCGCCCCGGTGGTCTAGTTGATAGCCTCGTAACCTTCTAGAGGTCAGGTCAGGGGTTCGAATCCCGGCGTAGGCGAGCTTTTCTTGCAAAGTGATTTATTCTCTCGCTTCCGCTCCTGGCCAAGTGGATAGCGCTAGTTCGTGTGTACACAGAGGAGGGAAGAGAGTGCTGAACTCTTCTCGCATTGAAAATTGAAGGCACCAAAAGGCAAGGCTTGTTCGAACACGGCAACGTGCAGATCCTCCAATT